GGTAGATAGGCGGGCGGGTGCGTGCGTGAGTAAGTGAGCGGGATCCCTCCGCGCCTCCCGGAGACTGGCCGGCCATCTGGTGAGAGGCGAGGCGCAGCTGTTCGGCTGCCTTCTAATCCATCCCATCCCCGGGGCTACTGGAGGTGGTGGCTGCGGGTGGGGGGAAAGGGCTTGGCATTGGCCACCAACCCGGAGCCTCCTCGCCTTTTGCGTGCCAACCTCCTCCTCCTCCCCTCCCTTTGCTCCTGCTCCTGCACCCTTTCTCACTTGCTCCCCTTCTGCAGCTTCAAGCCCCTCTTTGCTTCCCAGGGGCTGCCCACCCACCTCTGTGCCTCCTGTTTATTTCCTTCCCACATCCTTTTTCCTCTCCTTCTCTTGGCACACGCCCAGCGGCTCCCCATGTTTTGCCTGTTTTCCAAACCCTGTCGATCAAAACGTGATGTGGCTTCTTTAGATGTCCTTCTCTGTCTGTTTGTCCATCTTGCGCTGCCTGTGCTTCTGCCTGGAGGCATCAGTAAACCAGCATTCTCCTCATTTTGTATTGTCTCCTTGAAGCCTTGGATCTTGGTTGGCTCCTCTTATCTGTCTTATTAATTATGATCTATGGGGAAGTGGACGGAGAGAATTGCATATCTAAAGGGTGGGACTGCTGAACATGGAGAAGAAGGGGATGGTAGAACCATTTCAGCATTCCAGGCATGGACACTGAACACACACACATACGCGCGCACACACACACACACACACACACACACACACACACACACACACACACACACACACACACACACAAATCTGTGCATAAGAAAAGCAAGATGTAGGTTAGTAGATCTATGGTTGTAGGCATCAACACAACGAAATGTATTTTAGGAGCATAGAGGAGTAAGAGAACTGGGGTGGGGTTGGGGGGGGTAGAGAGAAAGATCCAGAGCATTCTGGGGAGGTGGAGAAGACCCTCTGACCTCCCTTCCCTGGGATGCAGCAGAAGGAAGGTAGGCAAGCCTGTTTGGACCGTCTGGTTTCTGTTGCCACTTCTCTCCTCCCTGAAAAATCTTGCATGTGGAGTGGAGCTATGCAGCATCATTAGGATTCTGTGTGCCTCTTGGTTTTGCAGATAGAGTAGACCTGGTGTTGCTTCTCTCTGATATCGCATTCTAAGCACATGCAACCACTGATGACTGGGTTTGCCTCTTATGGTAGGAATCTGCTTCGGTCCCCAGATAAAGAGGCTCTTTTCAAGAAATTGCCGAAGGCTCTTCAAGTGGCTGATGGGAACAGTGAAGGATTTATTTCTCTTCCAGAAGCTTGTTGCCCCAGCAACAGGAGTGTCTTGTATTGCAACAGCCTCCCCCCTTTTTTTTCATGTCTGAAACAGGGACATAGCATGGGGGCACAGGGTGAGGGGGGGTTGTATTATAGCTCTGTCCAGGAGAAAAGCAAAGCAAGGTGTATCATCTGCAAATTGCTCGGGAAGGAGAGGCAGTAGATCTTTGTCTGCTTGGTTTTGTAGGTCAACCCTGGAGTGGATCTGATGAAATGGTTGTCATGACTTACTGGTCCCTTTGTGACTTCCTGCCCCATGATCCAAATCCTCGGGCCCCTTCTTGACGGTGCTGCCTCAGCCTTTGCACACCTGAAGTTCTTCAGGTCTGATGTGCAGCTGTCCTGCTATTCCAGCACCAGGCTGACCGCAAATGCTGACTGATAGCCCCTAGTCCCAAACTGCAATTTCTGCACTCCCTTCCCCCCCTTCAGCAGGTGTCCATCAGTGTCTAGTTCTACATTTACATAAGGTACAGGAGCAGAACTACCTTGCTACTCAAACCATTGGCTTTTCGAACAGTGGCAAACTGATGGGGCTCTGTCCCTTTGGGGGTCCCCCCATCTCCTACATAAGATAGATGTATCCCATCCTATCCCACCTGTATTAATTTGTCTTAGCCTTCCCAAGAAAAGTTAGTGGTATGTTTTATAGTAGTGAATTCTACTAAAAAAATACTTATGTGTGATGGGGACCTGCTTTTGGCTGTATGGAATGTGCTGCAAATCAATTTGGCTAGAGGACTAAAAGTTCTATCAGTGTGAGAGAGGGTGAAATTTTAATTTCTGTTTCTCCTCTCCACTCTGTTCAACAACCCTGGATTTGGCATGGACCCATCACCTGGGGTTTTTCATGTACAGTGGCATCCCACGAGAGAACCTGAGAGGTTCATGGCTAGTGGCAGCCTTGTAGCTGGGAGGAACTCGGATCCAGGCATACATAAACATAAACAAATGGATGTTTTCACAAGAAGGCTTTTTAGGTGTTTTTTTTTGCTGTCCTTCCTATGATTGGCATGGGACCTTTTAAGGTACTGAACTAGCACAAATGGCAGAGGTTTTGGATAGAGTTCCCACTTCAGGCATTGGTCTGCATGCATTTCTCTCCCACATGAGTATACCCACACAGCCTGGGTTCTTTGGAAGTCCAGTGGCAGCAGGATTAGCCTAAGGATCTAGTGCCTGAAGGAAGAAACATCAAGCACTTCCCATTCCTTTCCCACAAATTAGTACGGAGTCCAGTCTTCCAGAAAGCTGGTTATGAGTTGGTATGGGAACTCTATATTTTAAGAGGTCATCAGCCACTGGGGTGACATCTCAATGGGCCAGTCTTTGACTTGGCTTTTCTTGGTAGGACTCGGAATCCATTTTCTGAAGTGGCTTCCTCCCCTCACTAACAACTCTGAGTAGCCATCTTCTGAGGTTCTCTTGTGGAAGTCTCCCAATGAGAGCCGTGACTAATTCAAACCATAGGGGCTCAGAGGGTCCCCTCTGCTTGAGACTGGGTTTTTGTGGGGTAGGGGAATGCCCTAACGGTCCCGCCATCATCATAGATGCTGAGACCCTCCTTTCCATTACCAGGCAGGCTCACATTCTGAAAGTCCCAAAGATGGGCATGGAGTTGCTCAGTTGTGAATGGATGGAACGATGTCTCTGGAAGATAAGCCTAGTAAAAGGTGGGGGTTGTAACTAGGCCATTGTGATCTAATCCTGGAGACCCAATTTATTAGAGATTGGTTGTGGGTGGGGGAGGGAGTGTTAATTTATAATGATTTTTCTTTCCTTGCTTTCTCTTTCAACCCCCTCCACCCTCCTCTTGTTTCCCCTGCCCTGGAGGTTGTGCGATAAAGATTAATTTGCTATTTCTGGGCCTCTGACATTTTTCGGAGCTTTCTGGCGGCGTCTGCTTCAATGTTGAATCTGGACCGGGTCCAGCCAACAAGATTAGCACTTCAGGCAATGAGGAGGGGCCAAAGGGAACAGGGCACATGCCAGGATAGAGCAAAGGATGCTGGGACTAGGTGGGATGCATGGAGGCTGCAGAACTGAGGATATTTCATTGGCGAGCACTCGGTCCCTCTCACCCGTGAATAATAACAACCTGTCTCTTCCACCCAAGCATATGGTGAATTATCTGCCTGCTTAGGTGGCACAGAAGTGGGCCACAGTCAACGAAATCTTTTGCCAAATGAAAGCAATGAAACTTAAGGTGCCACAAGACTTTTGGCTGCGGTTCCTTCAAGTCCTTGGCTTGATCCTTTTGCCCTCATTTCCATGGAGAACAAAGCCAAAATGCTGTTCATTCCTGGTTACTCTTGCTTCTCCCTCTGTTGCATCTTCCGCTGTTGAAATTGTGGCTGTCAAGGTCCTTGGGATCAAGATCCTGACAATTTATTTCTGAAATGCTCTCTTGCATGAGGGGGAAAATGCATGTCTAACGATGGATCTCCCAAAATGAAGGTGAGAATAATGCCTGTTATGGAGCCATCAAAAACTGTATTTTCAGTCTTCTCACTGTGTCAAAGTAAGCAGAGTGTGGTTTCTGTAGCTGTCTCCAGGTTTAGCTTCTCTAGCTTTGTATCAAGTTGACTTCCCACTCCTCCTCCCCCTAAAAGCAGGGTTAAAACCCTCACGTTTCCAAATCCTTGCCCATCATGGAGCTTTCAAATTACAGGGTTTATAATGTAATAAATATAGTAATGTTGTCCTTAGTAATCATTTATGTTTCATTGCTAACATTTAGATTGTGTGTGTGTGTGTGTGTGTGTGTGTGTGTGTGTGTTGTAGAATAAGCGAATATGTAAGGATCTCTTTATACTATCTAGATTGTGATTCAGCTAGGATGTTTACACAGCCAAATGTTGCTAGATAATGACCAGGCATTTTTTCTAAGCATTTGACATTGTGAGAAGAACAGAGAATTGTCCACAGATTTGATACTTACATTAATTGCAACAACCGCCCCAAGATCATTTTCTGTTGTGACCCAATGTCCCCCAGCTTTAAAAAAAAAATGTGACAAATTTGAATAGCCCTCAGATGTTGCCTGCTTAAAGAAGATAAGATGAAGCAAAAGGGAGGTCTGTCGGTTGGTGGAGGTTCGGCTTGGTGAGATCTTGATAGGCAGCTAAAAATTGCTGGTGATGTTTGCACCCATGAGAGCCACTGGCAGATCCCAAAACAAGCTGGGTCAAGATCTGCCGGATCCAAACCCACTCCATTTTCCTGAGTGAGGCTGAATGTGGCCCCATCAGTTATATTGGCCAGGAACGAAAACCCGCTTTCTACATCCTGCTTTTCCTGAAGGTGGTAGGAATTTAAAATACAGTAATTAGCCAGGCTGACGGTTCGTGAAGCTGTGCAACCCACATCCCCACCCGCATCACTTTTCCCTTTGCTGGCACAGATCAGCCGAGCTTCAAATAAAGAAATCTCTCCTCCCTGGATCTATGGAGAACTGTTAGGTCCTACGTGTTATTATCCTTTTTATTTTACTTGTCCCGATGGAGCCTGAGGTAGCTGGCATAGTCCGAATTCTCATTGCTTTTCACAATAACCCCATGAAGTAGGTCACGTTGAGACCCTGTGATGGCTCAACATCTTTTTAGCCTGTGGTCTAATAGGATGCCCTCTCATATGAGACACTAGGCTGTGGCCTTTGCCACCAATTGCGCTTATGTTTTGAGAGCTCTGCATTGCAAGAAGTTTTACTAGGCAGCTGGGTTGGCCCCAGACTGTTTCCATTACAAAGGTGTCCTTGTTCTTCCTGCCCCTGTTGACAAAACTAAGTTGTCGTGTGAACAAGGAAATTCTTAGAATATATAAGGTATTATCTGACCAATCTTCAGTCTGAATTTCGGTGCAACTGTAGTCCTATATTACTGTCAATGATTTAAGCCTTGTTGGTTTCAACTGTATGTGCTTCCCTATTCCATTCATTTTTGCACAGAACTAGTTTCAGGATGAATTTACTCCTAACTAATTGTTCAAAGGGGAAAATTAAGAAGACTAGGGGACAAGGTCTTCTTTGTTTTTAATTTAAATAAAGCCGCTTGAAAGCTGTACTAAGGTCTCTGTCAGTCAGTTATGACTTAAATAGCACATAACATAACATAGAGATGTATCCTGAAGAAAGATACCCGGAGAATGCAGTTACTACCAGGAAGATGTGAAGAACGTTCTTACGAATGTTAGTCATCACATGGACATGACTGATTTTAATCCTGTTAACCACTCTTTTTACACTTTCAATTTTTGCAGCCAACAAGCACAAGCCCTGGATCGAAGCTGAATATCAGGGTATTGTCATGGAGAATGACAACACAGTCCTGCTGAACCCACCGCTCTTTGCTCTGGACAAGGATGCTCCATTGCGCTATGCAGGTACGTGGATGAGAGATGCAGGAATGGAGGATCTTACTTACGCATAGCCCAAGTTTGATCAAGTCCTTGGCGTGTAGGGAGAACTTTATGGTAACAGCACTGGGGAAAGGCATGATCACATGTCAATCAGTAGCACAATATGACAATACTTAAAATAATACACATGTTTAGTAATACAAATTAAAGTATGATAGCATGTTTTAAAGGCAAAGTGAGCCAATTCGTCTTTTTGGACTACAATTCCCAGAATGCCACAGGGATTACTTTGAAGTAACTTAAAATAATACACACGTTTAGTAATATAAATTATGACAGCATGTTTTAAAGGCAAGGTGAGCCAATTCATCTTTCTGGACTACAATTCCCAGAATGCCACAGGGAGCTGTGCTGTTGGGAAATTCTGGGATTTACAGTCCAAACTCCATAAATCTGCATATTTGAATTTTAAAATGCTGGTAGCCTTGCTGATTCCTGAAGGGTAGTGCCTTTGCATTCAGTGGCCAGAAGATAGAACAGAAGATAAGACCTATCGGTCTTGGGTGGCCGTGCACGGCATAGCCCACATGCATTCAATGGCCAGAAGATAGGACAGAAGATAAGACCTATCGGTCTTGGGTGGCCGTGCATGGCATAGCCCACAGCTTCTCCGAGTTCCTCAAGCCCCTTTGCCACAACAAGGCGGTGATCCAGGAAGGGGAGATAGGACAGGAGGTTGTTTAAAAAACAACACTGAAAAACTAAGTACTCAACTACCTGTACGTTTGTCATATCCGCATAAATAAAGGCCCAGACTGGTGTGGTGTTAAGCAAGTGATTCATTCTTGTTTGGCTGATTTTGGGGTTACTAAATAACAGCTTCAAGGGATGCTCAGACTCGGCCAAGATCATAGTTTGGGGTGAAAGATTTGATCCATAGTGGCCCCAGTCTAGATCGGTCCTTGTGGCATTTCATAAACTGAAGTAAGCATGCAAAGGACCATTGCGCTTTTAATGCCATGTCTGATGGGGTCCCAGTTCTCCAGAAATGATGCATACGATTCAGTCTGTGACCTGTTTGCATGAATTCCTCAGTGCTTGCAAAATCATAACTCTTTGAATGTGGAAGAGATGCTGAGAAAGGGGGGCTAATGGTAGGTTTGGGTGGAGAGCTAGAATCAGGGGAATGTGCCATGGCCTAGATCAGTGGTTCTTAACCTTTGTTACTCAGATGTTTTTGAACTGCAACTCCCAGAAACCCCAGTCAGGACAGTTGGTGGTGAAGGCTTCTGGGAGTTGCAGTCCAAAACTCCTGAGTAACCCAAGGTTAAGAACCAGTGGCCTAGATGACGTTAAGAGGGTTTGATGGACGGGTGGTGGTGGTGGAAGTGCTGTCACTTGTGAGGCTGTCTTTGTCCCTCCCTCTTCCTAGGAAGAGGCGACCCGCCCGGAAGGAAATCCCACTACCTCTGATCAGTGATTTGAGACAGCAGAGGTTTGGCTTATGATAGGGCATTGTACCCAATGCCTTGATTTCAAGGCATAGTGCTTAGGGAGAGGGGCTTGTTCAGATGACCAGATAGAGGGCCACTGTAGACTAGATCAGCCCTGCAGGATGGATGTTCACCTCCCTCGTAGTGGGGGAAGCCTGTATATGGGAAAGCATTCAAGGAATGCAAATGAAAAAAAATCAGTAAGTAGCTCTTTCTGTGAAAGGTACACATGGGAAGTATACAAGAGAGTTATTTGTGAAAGATCTGCAAGGAAGAAACCTGGAATATCTTTGGGGGTGCCAGCCGTTGCTGCTCCCCCACTCCCAACACATTACCTCTCAATAAAATATACTTATTTTTGTATATACTCATATACTAACCTGAAAAGCTCAAATTCAGGACAATGCATTCAGTGTACCAGTACAAATCTATAAACTTGCCTGCTTTTTTTGCATGTTTGGTCAAAACTCAGTACAGTATGTGAGTTTCAGATCAGCTTTGTTTACCCCACCCAAAGGCTGAGTATAGAAGCTAAAAGAAGGATAAAAGCTAAGGACTGAAAACACCTTGGTATCAGGAAACCTCCCTCTTCCAGCTTCTGGTATGTGGAAGGGCTGCGTGAGATGTTGCGTCCTGCAGTAGTCGCATCCATGACTAGTCCATTCATGTAAACAGCATGAGAAGAGCCCTCGTCCATCATTAAAAATGCAGAATATTCACACAAAGAGGGGAGCGCAGCAGTCCCGCTCTGTCTCTTGTCACCTCAATTGCCCTCCTGCATGTGGAAACCAACATGTCTGAAGCTTCAGCTACTCATGGGGCTCTCCATGTGCGTCGGGAACCTGGACAATCAGATAGAAAAGCACTCACTCTTCCGACTTGCTTCTGTACATGGGATAGGCTGATAAAACCAGGGATAGAGGAGCAGGCTAGTGTTCTCCTCTCTGTGCACCAGCAATTCATGTGGTTTTTAGTGATCGACTAGGGCTTGTATCGTTCTAAAGGTACGGAGGTCATGGTGCCAGTTTCCTGTAGTGAACATTCTTCTCCAACAGAAATATTTTGAAAGCGGTATTGAGAGAAATGACATGCCAATGGCCCATTCAAGTGACAACACACTGAACAGAAGCAGATTGTTACATGGAACAGTTGCCAAGAGCTTGTAAATAATGAGTAACAAATAACACACCATCCTATAATGAGTTGCCCCCTTTTTGTGTTCTCATCTAATAGAACATAAGAATAATAAGTGTTGGGAGCTAGTAGGTCTTATTAACAAGTGATGATTTCTAGTTACTTTTTCTAGAAATTGCCTTTAAAGGATATTTTAGAGTCATTTTGATTTGGATGGTTCATGTTTTATGTTACTGTTTCAGATGTTGCCCTGTACTAAACTCCCCTGAAATGAACATGAGCTGAACAACAGCAGTACCATTGATTCCAACAGTACTTGCACAGGGTACACCTTGAGGGAATCTGTGTAAAGTCCAGATCCCTCAGTTGCCCACTTATGTCAGTGTGGAAGCCAGAATGGATGTGGGCTGGTTGACAGGAACGGGATGGTACTTGCTACTGTATGTCTATCACTCTTTTCTTAATGATGTTCTTAACTCTTTCTTTCTGCTGCTTCCTTCTGGGCAACCAGGTGAAATATGTGGATTCCGGATCCATGGGGCAGGGGTGCCCTTCGAAGCAGTGATCCTGGACAAAGCGACGGGCGAAGGGTTGATCCGGGCCAAAGAGCCAGTGGATTGTGAAGCTCACAAGGAGCACACTTTCACCATCCAGGCCTATGACTGTGGTGAAGGACCTGACGGTGCCAACACCAAGAAATCTCATAAGTAAGATTGAAGGCTCATTGGGCGCAAAGGGCTGCAGTTATATCCCGCTTAACAGGCCAAGACTCTGAAGGGAATATCGTATGTGACAGAATCCTTAACTAAATTCCACCATAGTACTGTTAATGGAGGAAATGCAAAGTGCTGATCCGTGTGGGGTTTTTAAAAATATATAAGGTAGACATGCTTTAATCTAGCACCCCTGTAGTGCTGTTTTCCTTCGGATGTCAGCAAATTCCATTAACGCAGTCGGTGTGGAATTATTCCTATGATATCAGTACTTAGTTTTAAAATATACTCTCTTTTTTTCTTTTTGATCCTCAAAATCTTTCAAAGCTTGAGGTGGAATGGTGTGGCATCCCAGAAAATGTATCGCCAAAGTTGTGTTTCTGAAGATCATGGGATAATAGGCTGGAGGAAGAGTGTGAGCAAAGGGAAGGCTTAATCTGTCTGGAGCCTATTCATTCCCCTTTTGCAAATGCTTCCTGTCTCCAGGATTGTCTGTCTCCAGCCTGACTGTGCTTGGACGGGTGGCAGCAGAAAATACAAAATACGATTAAAAATAGCCTGGGGAAAAACATTTGTAGGGGAGAAATGATGGATAGGGGCAGTGGTTAAGGGCCTTTTCCTTCACAGGAAATGCTTCTCCATTAGTGTTATAAAGGAAGGCGGGGTTTGGAGTGATGTGCGTTTCCTCATAATGTACAGTTCCGGCACTGATAAGGTTTCCAATTGTGCTGTAAAATAGGGCCAGTATTATTAATGTGATGCTGGGCAGGAGTGGGATCAGGTGGGGGAGCTGATGCCGAAAGGTAAAGTCTTGTCTAAAGCCATCCCAGCAGTTCATGACTAAGCCAGAATCTTATGTGGGGACAGAAACAGCTGTCTTCTGTGGAAGAAGGGCATCTCTATCAGTGTCATCTGCACAGGCTAAGAGCCGCTATTTAGGATTTGGGATAGGCTCTTTCCAAGCCCCATCTAGTGGTACTGAAATACAAAGCACCTGCGTGCGGATCATAGCCTGAACCACCGAGCTACGGCTCCCCTTTCCTGGTTTGCTGCTTGTTCCCTTATGTCTTACACCACACAAGCTCATAGAGCTTTAATTGGTCACTCACTTTTAATTGTGTTCTGCACTGAAAGCTACTCCCCAAGGGACCTTTGTTGACATTGACGGAATCGTAATTCCTCTGCCCTTTTTATTTTATTCTTGCGGAGTCTAGAAAAAGTGTGAGTCCTGTGTTCCCACTCTGACGGGTGTTTTGTGTTGCTAGGGATTTGCTTTATCAGTGGCACATGACTCAGCCAGCATTCAAATTTAAGCCAAGTATTACCATAATTCAGCCCTGTAATCTCTAACTGCAACAAAGGCTGGCTAGAAAGCCTATTAATATAGAAGAATACTTTTGAGTAGACAGAGAGTATATTTCCCTGACCATTAAGTAACCACTGCCAACCCCTTTGTTTCTGAAAAGAAGGGGAAAAAAGGAGGGGTCCAGCCTTCCAGGGAAGCTTGAGGACTAGCATTTATCTTCTCTAGAAGTACATTTGTAGACCAGCTCTTCATTGGCCCCCTTTTTTTTAAAATCCAGGGCCACGGTCCACGTGAGGGTGAACGATGTCAACGAGTTTGCTCCGGTCTTTGTGGATAAGCTTTATCGTGTGGCTGTGACAGAAGGGAAGCTCTATGACCGCATCTTGCGTGTGGAAGCCATTGATGGCGATTGCTCTCCTCAGTACAGCCAGATCTGCTACTATGAAATCCTGACGCCGAACGTCCCCTTTCTGATTGACAATGATGGTGAGAATCTGAAGGGGCCTCTGGCTGAGGAGTTCTCCCAAGAAAGTGAAGAATAATGCTGTGAAGCATGCACATAATGGTATCATCATTGCTTTTGTCTCCCACTAGGTGGGAGAGATGAAACTGTCTCTTCTTATGTTATGGATGTTTGTTTGTTTTTTAAATTAAAAAATAAAAGCAACACCTGCCAAAGTCTTTCCAGTTTTCAGGGAACAGTGGCAGGTTATGATAGTGCAACGACTTGACTGTTTCCCCCTTCTCAGCCTGAAGCTGCCCCATCCCCCCCTCAACAACAGATTAAATGATTCAAGGACCGCCGTATGCTTCCCCCAATGTATGAGGAAGCAGCTTTATGCTGGCGGTTGTGAGTGGGACAGCGGCAGGAGGATAGAGAGCTGAACACCTCCTAACCTCTCTGGTGTGTTCACCTGTTCCCACTCATAGCATCTGATGATGTTTTTCAGTTTTTTTTAAAAAAAAAACAGATTCTTTACACACCTCTGACATACTACCTGGTTTGGCTTTTGTGTGATGGACCCAAGCAAGAGAGTTCTTGGCCTGCCCAATCTGACAGCCAGTTAACATTGAGCAATTTTATTGAAGATAAATTATGAACAAGTGAAAGGCCACTGCTTTGATTGGCTACGGCAGAATAGTACTGCCGCAGCATGAGGAGCAGATCACTGTGTTGAGTGACCTGCCTGTCAGCCAATGCACACCCATTACCGTGCCCTTGACGGTTAACCAGGGATTGGCCACTAAAGCTGCATGTGCTGTACTGCTGGATGCCGGACCACTATGGGGACCCAATGGCATCTGTTGTGGGGGCTGTAATGGCCTTCCCAAGCCAATGTGCCCTTGTCAGCCCCCTACTCATTGATCCCCAGAGAGGAGGGAACTCAAGCCTACAGCCAAATGCTCCGGATCTGCTCCTGTACGGAGAACGTCCCCTCCCTGTAACCAGGGAAGTTGCATCGACACTTACAGACCTATACAATCTTGTCCTCTCCTGCCCCATTCCCTGTTACCCTTTACATATTATTCCTTTACAAGTGTAGGTTGGCTGCAGAATGTACACCCTTGTAGCGCTTCAGCTAATGCTGGCTCTTTGATGAGTGTACCTGTTTATCACACTCACATTATCTATTTAGTGTCTAATTCTGGGACCCTACCATTTCTGCCAGGGAACATTGAAAACACTGAGAAGCTGCAATACAGCGGCGAGCGCCTGTATAAGTTCACAGTGACAGCCTATGACTGTGGCAAGAAACGAGCCTCTGATGATGCTGAAGTGGAGATTCAGGTGAAGCCGACCTGTAAACCCAGCTGGCAAGGTAAGGAGCTCCTTTTCACATGCATAGGTCTTCTCCACTCATCCTTTTAACTCCCCCAAAGTACCAATCAAAATCTTTGGCTTTCGTGTGTAACTTTCTCTTTTCCTCAACTGGTGGTTGTTTACTTGTCCTAAATGGCCTGATTTAATACATAATATGATGTTATATTTAGCGCAACTTGCCTATGTGTCATATTAGCAAGATGCCGTCTTGCCATTTTCTCCTGGACTGCCTGTTAAGACGAGAGCTGTCAGATTGTTTGTAACTTTTATTTAAAATTATTAAATGATTAACATTTTTACACAAATCTGCTGTCTGATCTGTTGGAAGCAGAGTGTCAGTCAACTGAAAGAGATTTATTTAATCAACTAAACATTTTTGCCCCAACAATATATGTTTAAATTATAAGGGGCTTAGAGATATGGTCTCTTTTTCTGACATGTTCCTCTGTTAATTAGTGTGGGGTTGACAGCCACATAAAAATACCTGGTGGTGGTAATTATGACAATGATGTGGGCAGTAAATTTTGGCTGTGCATCTTTTGTCTTACTTTTCTTTTTAATTGTCTGCTTGTTTAATCTCATAATTTATTCTGTGTTTTCATCAGGAGTGGAATTCAGAGAAGGCCCCATGTGGTCAAACCATCATAGCAGGCTCCCTATGTGGCCCTTCTGCTTCATTTGAGAAATGTTGCCATTCCTTATACATTTCCCACCAATGTTTCTCAGGCTCCAACTGTGAGGCCTCTCTACTATTGCCAGATTCTTCTCCTGCTTAGCCTATGTCAACCACTTTATCCACTGGCTACAACTAGCCTTCATAATTCCAGCAGCAAAGTCTGGACCCTGTAATCAGTACCCATTAGCAGACCGCTTGCTGAATTTTGCAACATTTGCAGTTTTTGAAAGGACTTCCAGATACAGGTATTCAGTCTGCATTCCTTTATCCAAGATTAAGCCCCATCATAGACATCGGCAGAGCATGTGAGAAGCTGTGTTCAGGCCATGTTTCTATAGGAATCTTGGATGCAGGGAGATTTGGGCTCAACTGCCCTGCCCAACCAAGGCGATCTGGGGAATCTTGGTCCGGTTATGAGGCCTATAGCATATGGGGCATGCATGGGTTGTGCATGCCAGTTTAACCTCCTTGAAGGAAAAGGAGACTCAAATTGCTATTAGTCTGTTGTTATAAAGTAGGTGATCATTTGGTCCTCCATATAACTCACAGGTAGGCTAGGTGCCTTGCCCAATCCGTGCTGCCTCTTCCATCTAGGAATTTCTCCAGTCTAGGTCCTGACTTCCATATAACTCGAGGCTAGGTGCCTTGCCCTCTTCCGTCTAGGAATTTCTCCAGTCTAGGTCCTGACATCATTTACTTTTCCAAAAATCTCCCAAAAGGTTGGAATAAAAGGATAGAGTACACCCCGGGCACGGGCACCCTGGCCCTTTTCCCTAGCATCCACCTGGAGACGTGTGATGAGCCCCTCTGGAACATCCAAGCCACTGTAGAGTTGCAGACGAACCACGTGGCCAAAGGATGCGACCGTGACAATTACTCTGAGAAGTCACTGCGCAAACTCTGTGGTAAGTATTCTCTTTAACATCTAATCAGGGGAGGAAGGGGGAGTGGAGGAACTGGGCATGGGGGCTAGTGGGGCTAGTGGTGCAGGAGAAGGACAGTGAGGGTGGGATCTTTTAAAGGGCTTATGTGGACGAAATCATGTGAGCACCCACATCACACGGGTAAGCAGTGGGTCAGTATCTGTATGGTGTTTCTCCCAGCAAGACTGAAAGTGTTAGTCTTGGGGCTCCTGTACTCTCCTCAGTTAGGCATCCTCCTACCAATGTGACAAACATCTGGTGTGATATTTGGACATCATGATTTTCTTCGAGTAGACTCATTGAGAGATTCTTGTGTGCAGATAAGATGAAATGAGTTGGAACCACACAAGAGTAGTGTAGCCATATTTCCTGGGTTGCTCAAGAAATCTTTCTGCTAGATGATACCCCTGTATTAATTAATGGGAGTATGTATGTCGTGTGTGTGTGTGGGGGGGAGCCATTTGGATGTTTGAGGTCAGGCATCCAAATCTCTTGGCTCACCTGGGTCCCTAGTGAAGGACACCATTCAGCACCCTTGAGATCAGTCTTCTGATGCTCCTCTCTTGTTCTCAACAGGAGCTGCGACCGGTGAGGTTGACCTGTTGCCTGTCCCTAGCCCCACAGCCAACTGGACAGCACGCCTTTCGGTCCACTACAGCCAGGACAGCAGCCTCATCTACTGGTTCAATGGCAGCCAGGCAACCCAGGTGCCCATGGGAAGTGGGACCGGGGCCCTTGAAGGACTGAGCGACCATTTTACTTTGTCCCTGTGGATGAAACATGGTGTGACGCAAAGCAAGAACAAGAGGGAGGAAGAAACAGTGATCTGCAGCACCATGCAGAGTGGTAAGATCTCATTCCCTTCCTCAAACCAGGACTGGCCCTACCGTTAGGCAGGGCAAGACTCTTTCCATCATGAGATAGTGGGGAGCAGGGGGAGGAGTGACAATGAGAAGACCAATCTGTGTGAGCTCCACAACCGATGCTGCCTTAGTTGCAGTGGAGAAAGCTCTTCTGTTCTGATAGATATCTATCAGAACAGAAACCTGAAATTCTCAGGAATTTTATGCTCAGTGCCAAACTTCCTATTTGTTTGGGGTGGATAAATTTTTTGGTTTTTGTTTTTGTTGTTGTTTTTGGCAGTTGTGCATAATTTTGGAATGCAGGCAGGCTTAGGAATGGCTACTTGCCGACTTACTTGTGATGGCACAGAATGTCGCCTGATGAGCAAACATAAAGACCTCTATAAATTTCTTTTTTTCAGGATATTGATATACCATAAATGACTAAAATCAGTATGCTGTTGCAGGCAGGCAGGCTAGTGAAGAATTATTTGGGCTAGTAGCATTCCTAGAGTTATTTTCAATGCTTCCATAAAGTCTTAATGGACTACAAGAGAAAAGATGTAAGGTATAGGAACTATTGTAAAAGAAATGGGAGTTCAGATGTTTCCTCTATCCCAAGCTAAAGGAGCCGTCCCTTGTATTACAGAAGTGGATGCTCCTCTTGCTATTATTATACAGGAGACCACAGCCAGTTGTCAAGAGGCCAAGCCATTCTACATTTCATGGTTGAAAACAGAGAGGCTGTGGTGTGTTTATAATATTCCTCTTCTCATACATACGTCTCTTTGTGAACTTTGTGGAAGACTGTTATATAATTTCCAGTTGAACATTGCATTGCATTTTTTGCATTGTTTCTGGAGCAGGTGTGCTGAACTGATTGTAACAGTGTAGATTGCTTAACCTCCCAATGCATCTATTAATAGGTATTAAATTATATTTGTGATGCAGACAGCGGCAATGTTTATTATTCATGTAGGTGGCTTGGGTGGGTGAGTGTAAAAGGGAAGCAGGATGATAATATTTTGTTTCTTGGTTTGTAGACATGGGTGCTCCCCTGGCTTAAGTATTTCTGTCCCACACTAAGGTCTCTCAGCTCCAGGTGCCCAGGGGAAGAGGTTTGTGCACTGTTGCAAAACGTTGGAATTAATTTTTGACAGATTGTCCCTGAAGCAAAGCAGGACAGAAGCAGAGCACTGAGGATGTTTGCATGAAACGAGAGAGCAGAATTGCTGAATATTCCGCCTCCTACTGAAACATAGAATATTTGTATGGGTCGCTTGGTCACTTCCATGTGGCTCCCTTTACTAGTGGGAGGTTAAACAGGAACTTACCTGGCAGCAAATATGTGGGATTCTGCCTGAACTGGGAGTCCTGGCTTTTTACTCCTACCTAAGCTGGGAATGGTAAAAGTCAAAGGATGAGGTTGTCTGGTTTGTAACTCTCGCTGTTTGGGGGAGTAGCAAATTAGTATTTTTAAATAAAGGATGGGCAGATATCAAATTGGGACTGCCCCTGATGAGCAGGAACAGATGGAGTGTAAGAGAGCAGGATAGTCTCAGGGCAGATTAACTAGAATTGTGCTGCTGGTTAATCTGATGCCCCTCGTCTGTTCCTCTCCAGAGGATGGGTATTCCCATTATTCCCTCAGTGTGCACGGCTGCCGCATCGCTTTCCTCTACTGGCCACTGCTGGAGAGCGCAAGGCCTGTCAAGTTCCTCTGGAAACTGGAGCAGGTGAGAAAACAGGTGCTTCCCCCACAGCTCCCTTTCCCCTAGGCCTTTCCTTTCTTGAGGACACCCCGGTCTGGTCAATCCTTTCCTTATGGTTGCAGGTCTGTGATGACGAGTGGCACCATTATGCCCTGAACCTGGAGTTCCCCACGGTTACACTTTACGTGGATGGCGTTTCCTATGACCCTGCGCTGATTCATGACAATGGCCTCATCCACCCCCCACGGCGGGAATCTTCCCTCATGATTGGAGCCTGTTGGGCTGGTGAGCATCCCTCCTAGGTTGCAGACTTCAGTTCAAAAACTTTGGCAACGGTCAGGGAAACAGGGGTGCAGGATTTGTCCATTTTTGGATGCTACGGTGTGGGGGAGGGAAGGTGTCCAGAAGAGAATAACAAATAACAACCTGCTGGAGACGTTTGGGGGAAAAATGAGGGTAAAGTGCAATGAAATGCCCTGTCTAACAGTTAACACATGAAATAGTGTGGGAAAATTGCTTACAGGGAGAACAGAGACTCCCTGCTGTAAGCGGCTATGGGTTCGTTTCTGGGGTCAATTCAAAGTGCTGGTTTTCACTATAAAGCCCTAAATGTATTGACCCGGGATATCTCAGTGGTGTAAGATTTTCAGGTGAGGCCTTTATCTTGGTCCCACAACCCTCACAAGTGCACATGGTGAAGACACAAGGGAGGGCTTTCTTGGTGTCTGTTCTGAGGTTGTCGCGTACTACCCCTTCAGGGGGCCAGTTCTGCTGTGTTTGCATCTCGGAATGAAAGAGTTTTCTCTTTCAGGCAGGCATTGAGTAAGTAACTGACAGCCAAGGAAGGGATTTATAAGTAGGGGATGTTATATCTTTTATCTCGTCTTTCTTTTTTAAAATGTGCTTTTTTTTTTGTTATAAACCATTTTATTCAATAGTTTTCGTATGTAATAATTTTAATTTTGTAATGTGTTTTTAATTATCATAATGTTTGTATTTCTTATAAATATATTTTCCAAGTTGCTTCAGATCCCTTTATTACAAAAAAAGTGCATGGATGAGTTTGAATGAATGAATATGAAAAGGCTTCAGTTAAAGGCAGACAGAAAGCTTCTTTTCATCCACAAGGGCTCTAAGTATTGTTTGGAACTGAATTGACAGAGGCATCTTGGCATTTACTGGCTGGAGTGGTGGTGGGAACACACAGTGTTCCATTAGCTTAGCAGGAATAGGCTTCAGGTTTCCAGAAACCTAACTTGGAAACTCTGGAAAGACTTTGCGTTCCCTATTTTAAAGGGCCACTTAGTTCTTTTGGATTCGTGCTATTGGTTCTCCATCCCATCCCCTCCTTTTCTAGTAAGCTGTATGTAGAAAAGAAGCCCAGTCGGATGACAGTCGCCACTGCAGGGCCTCCTTGGTGTGCAAGCAACTCTCCAAGACAGATTCTCATGCTCTGAGTTGTCTTTTATTTTGCAGAGGAGAGAAACAAGGAAAAAATAAAAGGGAACGAGAACTCCACAGACGCAGGGCAAGGTATATGACATTCTTTGTCACCAAGCACGGCTGTCGCCCTTCCTCACGCATGACATTTCCCCACTTCCCCACAACCCCTCTCCTTTCCCTTACCTGTGGGGAAAAAGTCTTGAAAGCTTGACAGCTTGGCCATGCAGCTTCTTCTGGGCAGGGTGATGGTTTTATCTCTGTGGTTTAGGAAAGGGCTTGAATCTGGGACTGACTGCAGTTCATCTTTGCATCAAAGCTGGTCTGTGAGAGATGTTACGAAGTGCTACCATCTTGGCCGGTGCCCACATTTGCCTTTTACTCTTCCCTTTTCCACCCACTCACCCAGATTGTCCTTCTCTGAAACCACAAAGAGGAAACAGGGTCTGCACCCTTTATACCCACCCACTCCAACTTCTCTGCTGTGGTCTTTCTCTCCCTCAGCTGGCTGCACATCCAAGACTTTCCGCACTCTCCTTCTGAATTCCTCAGACTTTCCTCCTGTTCACATGATCTGCTTCCCTTTTTTTGCTGTCTTTGTTGTTCTCTCCCCCCCCCTCCCTTTTCTTTTCGTCTGTCTCTCACACCATCCCTCCTCCTGTATCCCTCTTAGGAGACCCTCTGCCGATTCACCACTACTTCCACGGTTATCTGGCTGGCTTCACTGCACGGCCCGGCAGCCTTGAGAGCCGGGAGGTGATAGAGTGTCTCTATGCCTGTCGCGAGGGGCTGGACTACAGCGACTTTGACAGCCTTGGCAAAGGGATGAAGGTATACCGTCTCCTGGCCTCTGGTGGCATGACCTTCCCTCCCTCTGCTTGCACCTTGGCTTGGCTTCCCAGGTTGTGCTTGCTCCTTCCTGCCTCCTGCAGAATCTCCTTATGTCCTCCTGTCTGTCTCTTGACCACCGACTTCACTGTTCGCTAGGCGGCTCACCTCAAAGCCTGTTTCCTTCTTCCCTTGAAGGTTCATGTCAACCCATCTCAGTCTCTTCTCACCTTGGAGGGGGATGATGTAGAGACCTTCAACCATGCAATACAGCACGTAGCCTACATGAACTCGTTGCGCTTTGCTACTCCTGGAGTCCGACCCCTCAAGCTGACCACTACTGTCAAGTGAGTAAGCAACTCTTCATCTGTAAAAAACATCCTGTGGATGCGGAAAGTTACTTCCTTGGATTATAGCTCCCAGAATAACATAGGTAGCTTTGACATTTGAAGGCATATACTTCTCTGCTGTTCAAATTATTATTTTACTAATTTGTGCATCACTTTGGAGGTGCTTTATAGAATTAAGAAACCTGGCTCTGTAGAAAAAGTCAGAACAGGTTTATCCTTCCTGGCCCCTCAGAATTTGCCTTGTGGAAATGGTCATTGCAAGAGCAAAGGCAATGGTTCCAGAGGTAGGCAGGGAGCCCTGCACGGTGCCGTTGTGATTCAAAGTGGCTATCGTCATTCCTTGAGGTTGCTTGAGTCTCTTGAATTCACTGTTTCGGTTGCTACACAGTATTGCTATCTTCATCTTTTTATTTTAAATCATTGTAAACTGTTCTGAGCTATGAAAGGGGGGAGGATAAAAGTTTTCTTTCAACACCCTCGAACATACATCTTCAGTAAAAGTGTTCCTTGATGCCCATTAAACACAAAGGAAATCTGCCTCCTTCAAGACTGAGTGACCAACTCTTTCTCCTGTTAGGTGCTTCAGTGAGGAGTCCTGTGTCTCCATTCTGGATGTGGAAGGTTACGTGGTGGTGCTTCAGCCGGATGCTCCCCAGATCTCCTTAAGTGGCACTTCTCACTTTGCCCGGCCAGCCTCTGATTTTGAAGGACCCGAGGGAGTTCCTCTCTTTCCTGACCTGCAGATTTCCTGCTCAATTTCACACCAGGTGCAGGCTAAGAAAGATGAGAGTTGGCATGGCACAGGTGAGTTGAGCGTTTCAGGCCGGATGTTGTGGCCCATGGGCTGGAGAGTGATAAACTGAGGAGTGTAGACAGGCAACCATTTTGCTACAAGAGAGAGGGTATAAAATCTTGGAGGCCATTTTTAACATTTGGCAATTATAATTGCATAGAGGGTTAAGCACTGCACCAAAACAAGCGTATAAGAAGGCATCTATTGGTTTTTACATGCTTAATTCCCAAGGAGATTTGATGGCAAGAATTTTGGGAATTGTGGTTTGGAGAGAATGCTAAGAGCCTTCTCCACAAAACTCCAGTTCCCAGTGTTCCCCAGGACATCAGGAAAAGTCCTGTCGGAGCACAATACTGGACTATCAAGACTCTGAGGAAATAAAATTGAATGTGAACCACATTTGAAATGGAATGCAGATTGCCCCTGAAACAGTTTAACAGTCCTTTTGTAACTTTTGAAGTGACATGTTTTGCTTGCTCTTGCTATAATATGAGATGGAATCAACGAATCAAGGTTTTTAAATGTAATTGGTTCATGGGTGTCATCTAAAAGAGCTATATGGAATTCCTAGGCACCTTTGCAATACGATGCCTATGTGTTTTTATCCTGGCCTTTGGCTAAGAAAATGTTACTTGCCGGGCTGATACTTACGGCATTTCAGGCTTGCTGGGAAGCGAAAATACAGCTTGGAGCTTCGTGGAGGGAGGGTGGCCTGTGGAAGGCGTAAATAAATGAGTGAGCCATCGCCCTCCCACTTCTTACAGCCGCCTAAGCTTTTTCTGTTCTTCGCAGTGGCCGACACACGGATGTCTGACGAGATTGTTCACAATCTGGATGGTTGCGAGATCTCTCTCATTGGAGAAGAGCTGGATCCTGAGAGGGAGTACCTGGTCTTGGATGGGGCCTCCCTGCAGCAGCGAGGCCTAGAGCTCATCAACACCTCTGCCTACCTCACCATCACAGGTGGGCACCTTCGGGACAGATTTTCCCTTGTCTGGCATCATCCATCTCCTTCCCATCCCAGCCCTGAAAAGCTGAAAGAGGCCCTCCGCGAAAGCCTCTCCACACCAACTTGATGGCATCCGTATGTCCCAGGCAAAGAAGCTGGGGCTGTACCAGATCCACATATTAAAGGCTGTGTCTGCCCTGCCAGCATGAAGGGAGACAAGGAGGGGGTGGATAAGATTTCAGCCCCAAAGGCTGCTCAAGAGGAGGATGGGTATATGCTCCAGACAGGCAGGGGTTTACCTTCCCATAGCTGGTTTCTCCAAATCTCTCTTTTCAATGCTTTTGAGCATGGGGAGCGGAAGCGGGTTCTGGTTAGTGGGGAAGCAGCTGGGGAGACTGCAGGGAGGTGAGCTGCATGGTAGGGAGACACCTGTTTCTCCACAATATTTTTATGTTCTTTTTAACTGGAACTTCAGTGACCTGGATGGTGCTAGAGTTCTTTCTTTTTTTAGGTAAAAACAAAACAAAATAACAATTAATAAAAATAAAAATAAAAAGGACAGAAACATGGTGACCTTAAAGACTAACTGCTGTATTTTTTTTAATGTGAGCTTTTGCTCAGACATAAGAACTCTTGTTATTTTTATTTTGTTTTAACCTATACTGCTTGCACAAACTAACACGGCTACCTCTTCTAGAACTATAACAGGTGTATGGGCATTGTTTAAAGATATGGCAAAAGGATACTTTTCTTAGGCAGTGGTTGGGCTGCAGTGATTCAAAGTTTGGAAAGCAAGGGCAACTGATACCTTTATTAGACCACTAATGCTGGCTTTGGACATATACCAGTTGTCATAAGGTTGTGCACCAATATATTGTAATTCACGGAGGGAAGAAACCCTCACCAATGGCCACAGGGGTGTAATTTGAAACCCACACTCCTGACATGTGTTTGCAGCCTGCTTTTTCTGTAATTCATCTTTAAGAAATGGATGTGTCACAAACATATGCTGTGACTTTTTGGACTTCCGTATGTTTTCCTTCCTGCATTATTCACGATATATTGACGCAGAGCCTGTTATACATTGGACTGTGTATTACATACACTGAGAGCTAGGAAAATTTCTAAGTTTATTTCTAGTGGTCTAATAAAGGTATCACCTGCCTTTGCTTTTGCGTTGTGTAAGGACCGCATGGCTTTGTTTGTTTGGTGTTTTTTGTTTTTTTTTTTTAATTTTGATTCTCTCCCAGGTGCAGTAGTACCAGCTGCCTTGGCTATTAATAGACACTTGCTGTGGTGTTAGTGAAGTCTCTGGGGAGGTAGTGAATTCCTTCTGCTGCAGTCATTGTAGCTGTTGCAGGAGAGCTCTTGGGTTGCTTATGAGTTTGTGCTCATCTTCTCCATCCGTCCCCTGGCTTCTTTCTGAGATTATGTTGCCAGAACAATGAGCCTGTTCGGTCTTTCTGGTCACGGATCACCCTCTCGTCAAACGCCTGCGTCTTCTCCCCTTTATCCCACTCTATGTTTCTGCTTGCATTTCTGTGTTTCCATGCCAAGGTATTTTCTTCCTGTGGCTCCATCTTGCCGAACCCAGTGAAGATTTTCTTCTGTTTGAAGAATCTCTTCAGTTTCTCTTGGCTCCTGTGTTGGTCTTTAACCGTGACCCACACCAATTGTCCCCTTTGCCTCCCCTTCTTATATAAGTAAGAACAGCACAGTCATCATCATCGGATGCACCTGGCTTGTTAGCCCGTCAAACTGCAGGTCTGCTGGACTTCATCTTCCTCCTTTTCATTGCTTATTCACTTGCATGGCATACAAAGAAAATGAAGGAACCAGCTGGCCCTATGGAGGCATCTCCTTAGAAAGGGCAAGAGAAGAGGTCCAGGCACCACTTGAAGCACTAGATGCTCTCCAAGACCACTGGGATTTTCTTACCTACATTTGCTTACGAGGTTTTCTTAGCCCCTCAGTATGTGCCCTCAGATCCAGCCCTGAGCTCAGCCAGCCTGGAATCCCCTGTCACCTCAGCATTAATCATCTCTTATATGGGCAGGTGTGGAAAGCATTGCTGTCTACGAAGAGGTCCTTCGCCAGGTGTCCTATTGTACCCGCCATGGCGCTGCCCTCTACGAGAGGAAGTTCCGACTTTCTTGCACTGAGATGAATGGCCGCTACTCTAGCAACGAGTTTACTGTGGAGGTGAGTCGGTCGCAAAAGCATGCGTAGAACTCAAAACTGATGTGAATACCACTGTTATCTGAAGAGTCAGTGATGGCAAGCGGAAGTCAAGTGGTTTTTGAGTTCACAATGTGACATTTCTGTTTGCAGGTGAATGTGCTTCACAACATGAACCGAGCTGCTCACCCCAACCACATTATGAGTGCCCAGCAGTTCATGCATCGAGGCCACCACCTGCCACCAGAACTCTCTGGCCACAGCCTGGCTAATGTCCATCGGAACTCTAGTATGTCCTGATACGTGCCATATAGATTGTAAAAGGATGATGAGAGATTAGGATGGCACACACAGTTTTATGGGGCACAACGGAGGGAAATGTGTGAGGGGATTTCCCAAAGTACTTTTCATTTTTTCAATGCAATTGTTAGGACAGCTTGGGGAGCTGCTAATTTCATCAGGCTATTCTCTAATATGAAAAAGGGGTCATAGAGGGGGAGAATCTTACTCTCATTATAGAGAAGAACTTGAGCAGAATGGAGAGAGGAAATGAGGCCAAAGAGCAGGGCTGTTCACCGAGGATGGTTGGTTTTGTTCTTTCATGCCACCACAGAACTGTCACAAAGCCAGCTTGCCTCAACCTCGGGGTGAAACAACCAATGCATTCAGAATATATTTGAGTGACAGTGGATAACTTCATCATGTCCTGTGACTGGGGCAGGGGAGAATTGGAGGCCCATCTTCCCTCATCATTGAGCTTTTTCGTGCTGCTCTGATAGCACCAAAGCCACCTGGAAAGTCAGGGTGCTCTTTCTTCCAAAATCACCGGCAGGCATTTCTTCAGATTCACACCTAGCAATGATCGCTCAGGCCTTAGTGACTACCAGGCAGAGCTACTGTAGAATTATTTAGGAAGCTCTGCTTGAAGGCTGGGATATGGCTGCCTGCCCAATGGCGGTAAAATCTGTGGGGTGACTTTAGGTGTATACTGTGTACATATATATATAGCACTGACCTGGAAGTGCATTCACTGTATACAGCAGACACATTTTCACTTTTTAAGCTAAAACATGGTTCTGCAAGTTTTCAGCAAGCAGACAGATGCGGTTAGTAGTTTGTACCAGTGTTACAACAAAGTCCTACCTCAGACTGCAGAACAGTGAAGGGTTGTAGCACTGTGGAAGGCCATTTGCTGTGCAGGCTGCCTTCTCTCAGGTTCAGTCCCCTGAGGCTGGGAATGGGCTCCGTCTGACACCCAGGAGAGCCATTGCCAGTCAGTGCAGGTAACATTTATTTATCTATTATATTATAGTTGTCTCCAGCTTTTCCTTCTGTGAGCTCACGGAAGGGTACATGGCTGTCCTTCTCCCCACGATTATCCTCACAACCACCATGTGAGGTACCTCAGGTTGGGAGTGTGTGACAGGCCCAAGATCATCCAGTGAGGTACACGAGGGAGTGAAGATTTGGACCCAGCTCTCCTAGTCCAACACACGTGCCATTAAACCACATTGGCTTTCTGGCTGAGGCTGAAATCTGACTGGGTAAAGGATGAACGGATAGACATACATAAGTTAACCTAATAAAAGACTGCTAGCTAGCTTGCTTGAAATAATGGTGGGAGAGCAAGAGGTAATAGTGAAGGCAAGTGAAGGCTAGATTGAAGCCAAAAGGAGCCCAGCATCACAATATGGCTGAGAAAGTAGGGTGAATTTTCTTAGGGTTGTACATCTGTGTGCCCTTTTTCACTTTGAAGAGCCCAATAAGCTGTCAATGACGGAGCGACCCACATTCTCCTCATAAGCATTGGTAGCCATGGCCTGAGCAGGGGGAAGAGGTGGTTTCTCTCACCACAGGCAGGATGAGGTGATCCCATTGCTTGGACCACAAACTGCCAGTATCTGGCAGAAAATCTAAACCCTTCTTGTGCTGTTTTTACTTCAGAAGATCTAAGTAATTGGTTCCTTTTCTCTTGCTGTAGAGGGTTTTGCTTTTAAAACATGCTTGAACTTTCAGGAAAGGGCAGGATGTCCCTAGAAAGTAATGCATAAAAAGGGAAAGATAAATTTCAGGGTGAGCCTTTTGACTCTTGACCCTGGGCCATCTGTGTCGTGATGTTGGCTGCTGCTGCTTCCGCAAAGGAGGCATGTTGACCACTGGCCATTTCCACAACCCGAACTGGTAGTCCCTGGAAGAAGCACGGGGAGAGTTGCAGGTAACACACGAGCAGCAGCCTCTGAAGCTCCTCGGCTGGCAGGCGAGGAAACCAGACCTGGCTGAGCAGGTGTCCTCCCTTCTCTTCCCTGCAGTGGTCCCCAGCGCTGCCACGATCATCATTGTGGTGTGTGTGGGCTTCCTGGCCCTGATGGTGATCCTGGGCGTCCTGCGCATCCACTCCTTGCACAGGCGAGGGGCTGATGAGCGCGAGCGCACGGGGGAGTCGACGGGGAGCCAAGGAGGTGCCCGAGGAAAGGAGAGCGAGATGTTCTGGGATGACTCGGCCCTCACCATCATCGTCAACCCCATGGAGGTGAGTGGAAGAGTGCCAGGTGGAGGATGGGGGGAAGAGGGCAACGGGTCCCCTGAGAGGGAGCTCAAGGTTGCTCTTGTGCTCCAATTCTTTTATATCTCTTCCAGTCGTATCAGAGCTGCCAGGAGAGGGCAGCAGAGAGAGCGGAAGGTAAAGCCAGAGAGGTGGCTGAAGAGGAGGACAGCAGCGACTCTGAATCTCCCGACAGCCCTGGCAGCGACGCGGCCGACGACCAGCGCATTGTGGGCAAGCATGATGCCCCTTGCCGCTACTAGAGGCCCGTGACCGGTGGGGAAGACAAAGTGGAGGCTCTGCTTATGTTTAATATTGGGGATGGGGGTTGGGGAGGGGGTTTGGGGGTTGGCCTGCCTTGCCCAATTGATTTCTCTTCCCATGCCTGCCCCACCCCTGCTCTTTCCTCCAGGCTTCTTATTTTCACAGGGGAGAGGGGCTCAAGACATGCCCATTTGGCACAGGAGGCGGAACGTCCTACTGGCACCTTCCCTGCCCCTTAGCAAAGATGGGCTGCCATCTTGTCTGCCAGGGCGAGTCTCCTGGGAAAGAAAGGGGAGCTAGAAACGAGACAATCCTTGGGCTTGGTGGTGTCCTCTCACATTGGTTTACCCCAAATTCTGCTGCCCAAAATCTGCCTCTAGGCTTCTCACAGCAGTCTCTGGGGAGGGACCTCTGCATTTCGCAGACTCTGGCCCTTCCCAGCTGCTTGCTTGAATTAAAGTGGGCCAGGCCTCTCCTGGATTCCATCAGCCCGCCTGAGGATCCCATCTCATCAGGCAGGGGGACGGCTGAAATGGCATGTAGGAATATGGAGAAATGAGAGGGGGACGGGCAAGGAGGAGAAGTGAGGTGCCCTCAGAAGCCCCAAAATACTATATATATATATTGTATATTTTTTCAATGTTGTTGTTTGAGGTTTATTCTTGTTTTCTTGTTTGAGGCAAAGAAACAAAAAAAACCTGCAGCTTGTGTCGCTTTGTAAAATTGTCAATAATAGTCAAAACAACCAGAATTTAAAAAATAAAATGATGTGGAAAAGGGAATGGAGCAGATTTTAAAATAAAAAAGGATTTTAAAAGTTTCGGAATGCTGGGGGGGTCTTTCTTCAGAGACAAGAAGCGTTTTTCTTTCAGAAACCCTTACCGTGAGCTACAAAATTAAGACTTGAGTGGAAGTGAGATGATGTGCTGCCTAGGGAACTCTTTTGAGAGTTGCAGTCCAACAAACAAAATCCTGCAGACTTCTAGAAGTGGAACTCTCTTTTTTTCCCTAGGTCACAGCCAGCTACACTCTGGTTCCCATCTGGTACTTTCAAAAGATCCAGCACCCTGGAGCAGGGGGGGGGAGGCTGGTTGTAATTGCAAGTCCCCAGGCACTATGAGAACTAGAGCAAAGTGACAGGGACAAGGTCATGGGGTTGGAGCTGATGAGCAGTGGCAGAGCACATGCTTTCTATGCATAAGGTCCCAGATCCCTGGCATCTTCCACTCTGTCACATGTGGATCTCTCTGGCAGGTAGGTTGCCCCAACCGCTGCTTCTTAAGATGGCCTAGGGACGAAGACTCATCAGGGTGTCATGACTACTAATGGAGATGCCCTGGGACCAAAGTACTGAGGCAAAAAACCAACATTTATGCTTTGGTGTTTTATTAATAAATTATGAATACTTTTAGAACTTCCAACAAAAAGAGTTGCACTGTATCCACTGTCAAATCATTACTGCTTTGCATCATAGGAAGCTGGAAACCCATGCACAGACCTTTATAACAAAAGGCACAGTGGATGCCAGCTTCAGGCTGCTCTCCAGATCACGGCACAGAGCAACCTCCCTTCTCTTAGGAAACCATCCCTTAGCAGCTGCCTGGATATTACTGCCCCGCCCCCTAATTGATCCTTAACTTCCTCTATTAGGGAAGCAAGACCTGCAAGTGAACCTGGGTAGCCAAGGCTGCAGAAAGCAAGTGCTAACACAGTTCCCCGCAAGGAGAGAGATGTCTTGGCTATGCTCAGCTTCTCTACTTTGCTTATTTCTTTGTCACATTTATAGTCTACTTTTTCTCTAAAGGAGTTCAAAGCGGCATACATGGTTTTCTTCTCCATATTTGTCCTTCTGGCAACCCTGGGACTCAAATCAGCCGGTGAGTTTCATGGATCACTAGGGTCCTGGAACCCAGATTTTCTCAACACCCAGTAGAACTTCCAGCCACACGCTGCGCTGGGTCTCACACCCCAAGCAGGAAGGAGACATGTTTGGATCAAGGAGTAGAAGATGTCCTGCTTGCCTTTGGAGGACGGCAAGTGGCCTGCTGCAGCAAGTCAACATCAAAGGAGAGGCAGGGGAACCTCATTGGGTTTTTTTTTTTGTAAAACCCAGGCTCTGATCACACAGTAAGGCAGGTGGAGAAGAGATCTACTCTGTGGCATAACATGTGATGCAGCATTTGCTCCCACCAGAATTTTCCACTGTTTTCCTTAACCAACTCTGCCTCTTCTTGGCCAGCTGGCCCACTTGGCTCAGGCCCCAGGGGAAGTGGAGTGTGACACTTGCGTTGCCCTACCAGCATGCTGGAGCCTGGCCTGCTGGGGCAACTAGAAAAACCATCTGCCTGCAAAACAGGAGTTCTGGTAGCTTCCTGAGGTACACGTTTCTGTGCTGCCGCTTCTGTTTGACAGGTCTAGATTTTTCCAACAACCTCTCTGATCCTTCCATCATCTGCTGATATCTTAAGACTCAGCAGAGTTAAAGACCTTCACCTGTTATTGAGTCCTGAGGACAAAGTGTTGCCAACGGGCTAGTATGTGCCAGTCCTTTTGCTGTGGCTGGTGCACAACAACGGAGTGGGGAAATGCGCCTGTTATATAAAGGCATACACCCACACCCACGCGCACTGAGCAACGGTCAGGCAGGAGTCACATTTTTGTTGCCAAGTGAATGATCAGCTCATAGGTAACCATGACAATGGCCGCGTTGGGAATCTGGCGAATCAGATGGGGCAACAGCCCACGGTAAAGAGCCGAGGGACCCTCTTCTCTGACCACAAGTTGGAACGTTTGGAGAAAAGAGCGGTAACGGCAGCCTTCCTCTCGCAGCCTGGTCCGGATGACCTCTGCAGAGAACACACACACACAAAGTAAGGCAGGTGAGCAAGCTGGACTTCCCCTCTTCTGAAACAGAGCTGGGCAAGGCTGGCAGGGAGTGAGATTCTGCACTGGAAACTATGCCGCACTCCCCTCCCTCTCAAATAAAACAGGAAGTGGCTAGAAATCCATTTCCATCTTTGTAAAACCCCTTTTTTTCAAGGCAGAACAAGGCATAGAACAGAAGGATGCTTTGTTTTACTATGAGCTGCTGTTTCTGGAGGCTTTCAGGAGTGGAAATTCATAGTTTGGACTGGGTTTTTTTTCCCCCCTATGGGGAGGGAAAGATCCAAGAAGAACCCAGGGAAAGAACCCAGGGGAATACAAAAATACCCTGGGGTTGGGAACGGTGTGCATGATTCCCAGCCCTGTTTTAGAGGTGGGCGGGGGAATACTCAGACCCTCAATTCCAAGCCAGAGAGCTTTTGAGGTGAGTGCAAAAGTCCGAACCACTCACCATGTGGGTAGGCAAGGCAGGAGGCGCACGTTTTGGAGAGGGCAGCTGCTGCCATCAGCCCACAGAAGTCCTGGCTGCTGGGTGAAAAGGGAAGGGTTGGAGACAGGAATTGCTGATGCTCTCGGAGCCGCTGTTTCAGTGCCTCGTAGATAACAAAATGGATTATGGTTTCGGAGACACCCGCGTAGGAGGCTGTAATCCCACGGTAAAAGCCTCGCAGGCCCTCAGTGTAATAAATGCGCATAGCACACTGAAGGCCGCTAGTGTGTTTCTCGCCCTTGGCTCTGCAAAAGAAAAGAAACTGTTAGGAACAGCCCAACTGAGCCCTGTCCAGAACCACAAAGCCATGTTCCCTGTGCTAAAAAAAAATAAGCCCAAAGGTCTGTGCCCCAAATGTGAAATTCTTAGCCAAAAAGATCTGCATTTTCCCAAGTGGTGTATATATAATCCAAAATCGACAGGTTATGAGGATCAAGTATAAATTCACCAAATATGCAAGCTGATGAGAACACTTCATCAGACTAGATCTTTTTAAAAAAGGGGGGGGGAGGGAAAAAGAGCACAGAAGCCTAAGCCATGGAGAGCCGCAATTTAATTGTGCTGCAGAGAAGGGGAATCTCCAGACTGCCACCTTCCCTTCTTTGCAAGATACTATATGATACCTGAATGACATTTTGACTTACCAAGCTCTTCATACTGGCTTTATACAAGCGTGTACATTTTGTGAATGTACAATTGATCATAATGAAGATATTGCCTTTACAGTGGTGCCTCACTAGACGATTACCTCGCAAAACAACAAATTCACTAGACAATGACTTTTTTGAGCGCTGTTGTGCTTCACAAAACCATTGTTCCTATGGGTGATTTTTGCTGGATGATGTTTGGGTCCTTGCCCTGCAAGATGGTTTTCTTTTTAACCCTGTTTCACAAGACAGTTTTCCCCCCACTGAAACACATTAATTACATAAGACCTACTTTTTATCCCAGAAAAGTAGGGGAGAAAGTGTATGCTGCTGGCTTTCCAGGATCTGCCTCCTTGGGACAAAAAAAGTAGGTCTTATGTAATTAATGTGTTTTAATGGGGGGGAAATCCATCTTGCAAAGCATCACCAATGGGGCTATGGCTGCAAATTCAAATGGTAGAGGATGGTGAAAACAGCCAAAAATCAAAGGGTAAAGAGATTGTAAAAACACCAGGGAAATTACAAACACAATCTCCCATTAACACAAATTATGCAGCTGAGTTCCCCACATTTGAGGAAATCATAGGGATCAGCACACCCAAAGTGCAATGGATGAGCCTCACCCAAGAAAACCACTTTTATAACATGGTACTTCCCCTGCAAGATATGAGTTGGAATGGCCCTTGTACCTCCTACCTCCTTCTGTCCCCTGATCCCCCAAGGCATGGTGACCCCCTGGCTGCACCTCCCACTCAGTACAGGGCTGCACAGCCCCAGTCCTGTCAGAGGCCAAGAGAGCTCCTCAGTGTTTTTGGGTGCCCTGCGGGACCCCCATCAGGGGCTAGGTGTTCCTCCCACAATCCTCTAGTGCACAGGTATTAGCATATAAGTCAGGGAACCTTCTCAGTATGGACAACCCCACCCAGTACCTGTCTGGCTTCTGTAGTTTACCAAGCATTAGCTACATGTCTCAGCATTATCAGCAACGCTTAAAAGGGGAAAACTTGGATCTTTCATCTTCTGAATGTTAGCTCTGATATGAAATTCATGCATTTGTACAGCTTGCCAATGACGTGTCTTCCCACATCTGGCCTTGTTTACCACCAGGTTACCAGACTAGGATCGAGTTTTGTCAAAAAAAGTAGCTCCACAACCCATGTGCCTCAGAACGATGCTGTGGACAAGTGTATATCCTTGTTCTCCTCACCTGGATTCCAGCTGCATTCTGGTCTTTACCACCCAGATGGGACTGGTCAAGGTGGAAGACGTCACCCCTGTGGAGAGGAAAAGAGGTCAAGATGCCAGTGGGAACTTGGTAGTTTGTGAAAGATCCTGAACCCTACATTGGTGACCAACTCTGTTGGTCAAGTAGGAGCTCAATCCAGCCATAATTAGATGCTTCCATATCCAGCTAATTTCAACGAATGACGACAATAGGTTTAACTCTTTCATGCGTTTCAGTGACGTCTCTAAGCATTTAACTCAGGCCGAAGTATTCCTATGGACTCTAGTTTGATGTCTGCTTTCCTCTCAGTGAGAATCATCACTGCTGCTTGACTGCATTGCTTGGTACTTGAAGCAGACAGCAGAAAACCTTGGGCTCTCAAATGTGACATTTTATCCATTTAAGTGCAAGGAGGAAGGCATGCATAGTCATCTGTGCAGTTAGATGAATGTAAAGAGCCCACATAGGCCTCAACAATTTGGAAGCCTGCACCTTCCCAAACACATCAAATTATGGAAAAGTGAAGTTGGAAGGGGCCTACAAGGCCATCAAGTCCAATCCCCTGCTCAACACAGGAATACAATCAAAGCATATCTGCCAGGTGATTATCCAAGTTCTTCTTGAATGCCTCCAGTGTTGGAGCACTCGCCAACTCCCGAGGTAACTGGTTCCACTGTCATACTGCTCTAATAGTTAGGAAGTTTTTCCTGATATTCAACTGAAATCTGGCTTCCTTTAACTTGAGCCCATTGTTGCGTGTCCTGCACTCCGGGATGATCGAGAACAGATCTTGTTCCTCCTCTGTATGATAGTCTTTCACATATTTGAAAAGTGCTATCATATCACCTTTTTTTTTCAAGGCCAAACATGCCCAAATCTTTCAGCCTTTCCTCATAAGGCTTGGTTTCCAACTGTCACGCAACTCTCCATACAAGAACAAATGCCCCTGGAGTCATTGTTCCGTTTTTAACTCCTGTTGAGTAATCCCCCCCCCCCCAAAATCTTCATCTTTCATTAAAGTTTAGAGCACAACACATGATTATGGTCCAAGATAGCTTAGCATACACCTGTATCAGACAAATATTTACCTGCACAGGCTGCTGAAAGCATATGAACTTTCTTGGACTCTGGCGCAAATATGGTGTTGAATTTCTCCTTAGCTCCTGAATAAGCAGCAAAATATATAGCCCTAACAGAAAGAGGGAGAATTGGATATATTTAAGTCCTTTTTCCAACAGAAGGAATGATAGAATCTCATAAAAATCTTGCTAAGATCCAAAGGGCCAATAGGCACAAAATGGCCTTTTCTCTGACTGGTTTATTTATAATGTGTATGATTTTTTTCCAAGGCCAGAATGCTCATTTGCATTACCAACACCTCTCCTCTGCCTTCTCCTTTGCTTTAAAGATCAGCATATGTGTGCAGGAATAGCAAGAGGCCTCGTATAAAAATGTCAACCAAAGGCTCAAATAGAAGACATGTTTGGCCAACTGACAAATTTGTTAAGGAAAATTCTCTTACAAGTCAGATTCCATATTTTCCATAGTGACACGTGTTTTCCCCCCAATATGAATGTTTAATTGTTTTGCCTTTTAATTTATTTCTCTTTTAATATTTGCTCTTATTTTGCATACCATTTGTTTGGAGACTGGCAGAGTATAAATCCTGTAAACTAACACAAACCAATCATTTGGCTGCCCACAAAGAGAAAAAAAACACAATTCAAAAGGCCAGGGGTAGCAAACGGCACCATTTCCTCCTCCTCCTCGGAACCTGCGTGGCTGGTTGGAGGAAGGAAAACTCCGTGAAAGTTCTTCCTGGGCTCTTGGAGATGAAGCCTCATCCTTGCATAACAAATTTACCTCGAAGGGGCAACCCCAATCAGATTAGGTCCAAGGCCACGGAAGAGGGAACGGACGCCTTCCTTCTCCAGCATGGTTCTGTGAAAAGGGAGAACGAATGAGTTGGGGTGACCGCGCTCTCCCCTTCTTCCCCCTGGGTCAAGGGGGTGCAGATGTGAAGCAAAGGATTTCTGCCACCCCAGGGCGTCTGTGCTGAGGATGCCGGCAAAGCCGAGAGTGTGACAAGGTTCGTCTTTAGCCGGGGGGGGAGGGTTGTGTTGTAAAGGCGGGAAAAAGGCACGGAGGCGAGTCCGAGTCTTGAGAAATAACAACTTTATTCGCGTGTACACTTAACTCCACTGGATCAAACGGATCCTTCAAAACTTCATCGGTTAACAGCGTATATTTCTTAGGTCTAACAACTGGTGGACCTGTCTCTTCATCTACCAAGGGGCCGGGCCAAACCGCTCGCGGTCCGTCAAAGGTCTTAAAGGCGCACTCCGGACAGCGCATATGGTCCCACAACAGGGGTGGCGGGCCCAATCCCCCTCCGGGGGCTTCTGCTGGAACTTGGGGCCCGGGCGGATAACTCTCCGTCCCCCACCATGGTAGCCCACCGGGAAGACCGAAACCCTCCATTCCAAGGGTTCATATGTCCTACCGCGACCGCTAGTCAAAGGAGGCTCTGGCAACACTCCTCCGCCTTTCAGTAGGTTCGGAACTCCCGGAGGCCCGTCCGCCTGGCTCCTTGCGTCTATCAGCCAGTCTGTCTGCACCCCTCTGTGCATGCATCTGCCCAGTTCACCTTCCCCCAGCCAACTGAACTCCCGCGCAATGTCTCCCTCTCCTTTCACCTCCTCCCACATGATCAAGTCCATCTCGGCTCCTCCCTCATCCACCAAACACACTTCAGTAGACCTCCTTTGCAGTTCCTCCTCACACTCTATCTCTACAAGAATCCCTTCAGTACAGCCACTCGCGTCTTTCGGGTTCTCTTCTTCTGGGGACGGCACATTGGGTCCTACTCCTTCACAGAGAGCCATTTCTTTTCTCACCTTAACAGCCGAAGGACTCCTATCGAAGGCAGCTCAGGGCGGACCAATGTCCCGTTCAGCCCCTGCAGCTGGACTGCAGGCAAACAAAAGGGCTTCAGGGCCCAGGAGGAAGACTGCAGGCGGGTCTTCACCACTTCCAACGGGCAGGTCAGGATGGCCCCGGCTGTGCCGCCAAATCTGGGGAAGGGAGACAATGAAATCCAGAGTCGTCATGTGTTTAAGCAAGTGAGTTCCCGAGGGACCCCATCCCACTGTAAGGCAAACATCTGAAAAGAGGAAATCAGATGTGGAGAACAGGTATTGAAGTCAGATATGGCCTGTGACATATATGGACAAATACACACTAAACTTTCTATGTTTGGTGCATTTCCAAATGAAACAGCAAATTTCACCTTACAAAGGTTTGTACATGAATAGCATCTTTGACGCTGGACAGACCAAACCCCTGTAGTTTTGCCAGAGGATGTTAATCTGATGAATGCTAACTTCTATTAAATTACCTACAATCCTAGTCTACACTGTAATATCTGTAATCATACTACAGATATTACAGTATAGACTAGGATTGTGCGTAACTGTAGTCCACCCAAACTAGGACAGGAACTCTCCCCCCACTTCTGCCTCTACCTTTCCTCCGTGCTTTTTCCTTGCAGTGCCCTGCTGTAGGGACATGCGTCACATTTGAACCCTTGGATTTGCAACAGACTCAAATGCTGACGTCTTGCATCAATGCTGTTCTAACCAAGGCTGCTGCCCAAAGCTCTAAAGTCCGGGGGGGGGGGAAGAGAGGTTCAAACGTCATGACCCTTGCAAAACAAGAGTTACTCAATATTATTTCGTTCTGCTGCACAAACCAGTGCTAGCTCTGCAGTTCAGAACCTTGTCCCTGGTCTCTTTCCATCTCAGATCAAGCTGAGATAGCTCATGACACTGTCACGGCTAGTTCTGGAAAACATGGCCCTGTGTGCCATAGTAAGAGTCTGTGGGGTTCAGGCAGTCAGGCACACCTGTTGCTACTATGTGCAGTTCAAAGGCTGCCATCCTCCAAAATATTCTGATGTAAAAACTAGACGTTTCGAAAACTGGTTAGGTTTTATAGTCAGATTGCTTGCCTCTGGCATGGGAACTGCTGGCATCTCCTGTACCTAACTGACCAAAAAATGCTGTATGATAGCTGCCTTTAAACCCTTAGCCTGTGCATGACTGTAATCCAGGTTGCCTGCAGTCACAAAATGTCCACGGGCATTTAAATTAAGAGTATGATTGGCTTTTTGACGAGATCCATACTCTTATTATTGTGCTCTTTTCAATCACAGCCTTTCACCTCACCTTTCTGAGCGTATGATCGGAAACAAAAGCAAAGAGAACTGAGCCCTCCTGTTGTTCTTCTTCTTGCTTCCCCTGCCCAGCCCTTGACAGACTGGACAAGCATAAGGATAGCGGCAGGGAGGGAAGCTCCCTGAGGGCCTTTTCCTGTGGTTTTGGAAAATCTGGAACCAACATTCCTAGTTGATGAGGCAGCCAGGTGAAAAACATCACCTTCCAGGTACAAAAAAAGTGAACCCTTCAATAAATAACGCTGCCTGTGGCTGCCTTCCATTTCATATGGGTGCATCGGAAGAAGGAAAGCAAACACACAGGGAAGAAGGGATCCCACGGACTGAGGAGAAAGAAAACAAGGTCCTACAGAGAAGCCATCGGTGCAAACAATAAGACTCCCTGAGATAAAGATGTTTACACACAAACAGAATATAGCAAACTATTTAAATGCAGTCAAGTTGAAAGCTCTTTCATGTCAACAAAGCCAGAGAGGAGAGGGTCGTGACTTGATCTAAGCACTGTAAAGAAGGAAGTACTGCACTGGAGGGAAAGTGTGGGCCTCCCCATGAGTCGCCAGCAACACATGCAAAGAGAAGCTTGAAGGATGTGATCCGTGCAATTCCACCTGTTGCCACATATATGCCTTCCATTATTGGCTGGGGAAAATCGACACTTGTGATGCAACAGACAATGGTATCTGCCAGTGGTGCCTCTGAGAGGGTATGCTTGGAAAATATCTGCTCCTCGCTCTTATTTTTGGCTCAGCGTAAGGCAAAACCCCTGCAGAGGGGTGTGCGCTGCCTTAATGCGTCACTGATCAATCAGTGGTAAGAGCTGTCCTGACATAAGTGTGGACAGAGACTATGTAAAGTCCAAAAGGTAGGCTCCAAGGTAAATAACACAGGGAAACCAGCTTGATATACCAGCCGGCACCAACGAGTCTTGATAGGATGCTTCTGATGTAGAAATAGTAAGGACAGGGGAACAGAGGAACCAGTCTTGGCACCAGCTAGGAAATGGGGCAGAAAAGAGGTACCAAAGACCAGTGTAATTTCCAGAAGAACAGGCACATTAACTTGTTTCAGAAAAAAGACAGCAGAGCCTTGTGGTCACTTAAAGGCTGGCATTAAATCTGTAAGACTGGTACCCATTTTCTAACACATGGTTCTTCTTGTCACAAAAAAAGAGAAAAAATTAATACAAATGTGCCTGCTGCAGAAATTTGTTAACAACTCTAAAAACATTCTTCTTTATGAAAATCTCCCTGTTTCACCCTCACCCCAGGATTTCTCCATGGCTTCGTGAGTGGCACATGTGCTCCTTTGAGTACCCAGGAAGCAGATTGTTTAAATCATGGGGGTGGGGGTGTCTTCCCCCTGCTACCATATACTGAAATTCTATTGCAAGGGGCAAAGGGGAGATCCAGTGCACTGGCACCAGAGAATGAAGTGAAGTTGTTCATGTCACAATGCCACTTGGAAAATGCTTAGCTTTGTCCAAAACGATTTGACTTGAACACAGACAGACAATCAAACACATCTCTAAAGAGATTTCTGGGGACATGGTGGGGTGGGTGGCTAACCAACATGAGGAGTCTTCTGCCCTCTTAAAGACTAACATAGATAATTATGCCTAAGTATTTTTGGACTATACTGTGGTGCCCCGCTTGACGATGATAATCCGTTCCAGCAAAATTGCTGTAGAGTGGAAAAAAACCCCATTGAAATGCATTGAAAACCGGTCAATGCGTTCCAATGGGGGAAATACGTGCTCGTGCAGCGAAAATCCTCCATCAGCTGTTTTGAATCGTGGTAAAGTGAAAAATCGGTTCCCGAAGCAGGGAACCAATCATTGTAAAGCGAAAAAAACCCTTTGAATCATCGTTTTGCAACCGCTATAGCGATTGCAAGAAACTCATCGTACAGCAGCTTCATCGTCAAGTGGGGTAACCGTCTAGCGGGGCACCACTGTAGTCCACAATTCTGGAAGGAAGACAGTCTATTTCTGAATACCATCTTCCTTCTCCTTCAGAACAGAAAATCCCAAAAGAGCTGCTTGTCTCACCCCTTTTTAAAATTCTCCAGTAATACAGAACCCATATTCAGACATAATGAGTTCATCAGATCCAAGAGAAAAAAGCTAGAGACAATACTACATCTCATTAAAAGATTACCAGAGGATTATCTCATCTTTTATGTCATCACATTCACTCTTCTTCATATTAAAGCATTCCACTTTATATGAATGTTTTTTTAACTCTGCACCAAAAAGAGGCTTCTCATCATGGTAAAGAAGCAGCCAGCCATTTTACCAGTCTAAAATGTAAACAAGACCAAACAAGCTTAGCATCATGGAATGTAAATTAACTGGGAGACTCCCCCCCCCGAACTGCCCTGGAAACCCCATTACAGACCAGTATCAATGTCAAATACCGTACAGGGATGTTCATCTCCTGTTCTAAGCAAGCATAGGAAGGTCCAGTACCAGATATTCACAGCCAATCAGCCCACAATCAAGACCTATGAGTTATGGCACCTAGAGGAAGTTTTCTACTCTCTCTGGCCATCAGCAAACACTGTCACAGACCACCATGCCTGGCTTCTGCTTCATTTCTGTAAGCAGCAAAGAATCTCTTTCAGCCTGACAGACGGATACCGATTTAAAAAAGGGGCACTGGAGGGGCGAGACATTTTAGTGCTGGGTGCAGCAAAAGGTTGGGACGTATAACATTTAGCCATATTTTAGCCTAAATCTCTCACAAAGGATGGAAAGCCATCAAATAATGGTGTCAACTGGAGAAGGGTAAGGCTACCTGGAGACTCTCAGAGGGATGGACAAAAGCCACAGGAAAGCCTGATATTTCCTACCCCTGACTATGTCACCTCTCTTCATCTGAACACTGGAGCGCCTTGCTCAAAACTTGCAACTAATTTATTCTATTAGAGGACCTACAATCCATTCTAGTGTTGAGGCATAAACATTTTAATTGCTTTAAACCTTTTGTAAATAAGGAGTAACTCCTGCAAAAGAAGTGAATATCTCCTGAATGCCTCACCCAACAGCCAGAGACTCGGAGCACAAGCCATTTCTTTAAGAACTCATAATGGTTCAAAAGAAGCAGTGCTTCAAACACCATCACCACACAACTCTAGATGGTCTACATTAGAGACCATTATCTACACCTGCACAGGTGGAGATCATGAGGATCCACTCACCAATGCGCTAATGCTGCGGGGTCTGCACTGCCGTCCTATCACTCTGGAGATCACGATCGCCAAGTCACTCCTGGCAGGAGGCGGGATGACAAGCCTCTCCGCCAGGTAGAAGAGTGGCTCAATGATCCCAATCTCTGGAGCAAGAGGACGGCAGTGGGGACCCCGTGGCATTTAGTGCATCACTGAGTGGCCCATCCAGCGCCATGGGGCTGGACCCTTGTTATCTCCACCTGTGCCCATCTCTGGTCCATATCTATTTGTGAAGTATTTTCAGCTTTCCTTTGTTCCTACACTGCCCTCCTCCCCATTTTGTTATTTAGGCTCGTCGTCTGGTTTGGGTTATTTGTATGGATAACCAAGTAATGTGGTATGATTTAAAACGAGGCCTTTGCCTTGAAATCTCTCCATCTCATTGATGGAAAGTTATAGAATGTACAAACAACATATTCTTCTATTTTTTAACCTTCACATATTTTTCCAGTAGTTCTTCTTTGCTCTCCACAAAAAAAAAACCTGTTAAGAATGGAATGATAGAAAAGCTGCACAATACCTTTTGATCAGCTGCAACGTCATCCAGAAGCACCCACAGCCAAAGATACTCAGCAGCCAAAATCCTATTGTTCAGTGTAGTAAACTGCACTAGAGTAGGCCCAGTGGGAATGTAGAAGCTCCTCCATAGGTTCCACTGATTGAAATGAGCCTAATTTAATTGTGTTTACCTTAACACACTAAATTGCAGTTAGAGTAGGCCCATTTGAATCAGTGGAACCTACGAGGAGTTGATTCAGCTGAATCCCTGTCGATCCAGTGGGCCTCCTTTAGTGCAATTTACAATACTAAAGAACAGGATTTTGACCAGTGGGTCAGTGGCAGAGATGAGATCAATAGGTCAAGGACAGGAATATAGTGCTCACCCAATCCATCCTCCCTTCCAGCGCACTCCTTGCCTCAAGGGCAACACCTTCAAAACAGAAAGCCTCTGTTACCGATTACTGCCAGCTTCAGATGGAGGTGTGCAGATGCCTGTCTCAGAACTACAGTACAACTAAAACTGGGAATTCTAGACATTGTAGTCCAAAAACGCAAACCTGAACACTTCTGACTTCTGTCATACTCACGGCACAGAAGGAAAGAGGATGATCCTAGTTTAATCTATGCATGAAGCAAAGGGTGAAGGGATAAGGTTTCCTACATTTGAAAACAGAGCTGCAGGCAGCACATGAGAGTTTTTCATCTAGAGCCTGGATTTCATGCATATCAAATGGTGCACCATATCAGCTTTATTTAAGATAAAGACAGAACGTTCGCCCCAGAGAGCAGAGTTTTCACCTAGTTTTCTTCCTGCTATTCCTTCTTCCTACGTGCAGGGATGCTTTTTTTAATTAAATGGAGGGACACCCCATCTTGTGAGCCCATCGTCTTTGTCTGCAGCATAGCTTTCCAGAAACAGGGTTACTCCTTTGCCTATTCTTTCCGAGAGGCAAGGCCTATTCAGTTGTTCTTCCCATACAAAGACACAAGTGGATGGCACCAGGGCCCACCACATCAATATAAGAGGGGAATACTCAGGAGGAGGAGTGGCTGCTGTATATAAGCAGGCCTCTCACATGTGAATCAAAGCACACAAGGACCTGTTACTGGCCCACATGACGTGCTCCTATGGACAGAAATGTCCCCACGCTACCCTACCCCACTCAACAGCCAGTTGCTTTTATATGTTGAAAAGGACGATGGAGGGGCCAGAGCTAGTGTGCCTCCCTCACAGCATGTAGAAGACACACTGTTTGAGAATAACAGAATAAGAGCTTCAGGTCTCAGACATATTTCCAATGCTGGAAAGGATTCCTAATTCTGTTCTGCACTTCTAAGATGATGACTGATCTCAGGATACATTTGTTTCTTAGCTTGCAATTGGACACACCAAATGTGCAGTTGGAAAAAGAAATCTATGTTGTTGGAAACTGACAGGTAAACCCTGACACCTCAGTATTAGAACCATTTTGTGTTCAATTGCATGCTAAGAAACCTCCCATGCTCCACCCTATGTTCCTCTTTTATAATCTTTCACCTCTCTCTCTCTCTCTCTCTCTGTGTGTGTTTAAAGAAAATATAGTACAGGGTATAAACTGCCTTGGTAACTCTGCTAAATAAACATTTTCTTAATATAAGCATGTACAGTACATCCTTTAAATAAATGCATAAAATAAAACCAACAAAACAGAAATAATTTTCCCAGAGTAGCAAATATTTAAAATAATGCATCAAGAAAATTGTTTCCATTGGATACAGCAATCCCTATAACATTAAGAAAAAACTACTTATTTATCTTTCTACTACTGCTAAGTGGTTTGCTGAAAAAAGCCATATTAACATTACAAAGTCTCTCCTTACTAGATTGCTGCTTTGGCTGTTCAGTTCTTGCAAGAATTTTGATAGAAATGAATGGGAAACCAGATCGTGCTTGCTTGCTTATTTATTTATTTGATTTGATTTGTATACAGCCCATCTGGCAACCCAGGCCAGTCTGGGCAGTTCACACAGCACAATAAAAAAGACAGCTTCCAACGATACTCCTTTTAACTCATGAATGAAGGCCAACCCTTTCGGGAGTCCAGTCCAGGTTACTTCATAATGCATAGTATTTGAGGGCAATTAAGTTTTGGGCAGGCAATTAAGAGCCATTAACCTTACAAAAGACCTGCTCCTTATTGGCTGATATGGATTGATTCAGTGATCTGTGTTTTTAGACTCTCCTGGGAGGAGGGATGACTACAGGGAGTGCTATGAAAAGCACTTACATTTACAGTTCTATGTCTAGTCCAGTGTCAACAGCACTGCAAATACGTGCAGTAAGGAAGAATGTGAAATAGCAGGATGGTTGGGCAGAAAGTCAGAGTATGAATAGTTGTTGAGGATGTGGAAAGAGGCAAAGAGCGATGTTCACCACAAGCTGCCCAACTGGTTGAGCAGGCCATGGCACAGAAGAGCATGTACATCCACTTAATTCAGGTGCTCCAACTGTCCTTACCTTCTGGGGATGCTCCCTACATCTGTTACCTCTTCTGGCAAAAGTATTTTCCCTACTTTCCTTTAAAGGATAGTTTTGGTTAAATGTTCGAAAGCATTCAGTAGCTGTGCAAGGAGTCAGGAGATCCTTTTCCTGGGATGTCAGATCCTCCCCAGCATGTCTAGAGACAAGAAGCCAATGCCTGAATGTGACTAGTGGTGCCTCGCAAGACGAGTGCCCCGTTTAACGACGAAATTGCATTACGACGAACTTTTTGCGATCGCAAAAGCCATCGCTTTATGATGGTTTCAATGGGGGAATTTCGCTTTGCGATGATTGTTTCCATGCTTCGGGAACCGATTCTTGCAAAATGATGATTTTCGGCCAGCTGATCGGCGGTTTCAAAATGGCCGCCAGGTTAAAAAAATGGCTCCCCGCTCTTTTCTGGGACTGATTCCTTGCTGCACGGACAGTGAAAATGGCCGCGCTATGGAGGATCTTCGCTGGACAGTGAGTTTCAAGCCCATAGGAACGCATTAATCGGGTTTTAATGTGTTTCTATGGGCTTTTTTATTTCGCATTACGACGTTTTCGTTCTACAGCTATTTCACTGGAACGAATTAACGTTGTAATGCGAGGCACCACTGTAGTTGGGACACAGAGCAAGGCGTCAAGCTGGCTCAAGACGGCCATGTTGCCTGGTACTTCTGAACCCTTTGGTACCTCACGGAAGGAGCAGAAGAGAAGCCTCACCTTAGAATAGTAAAAGCAGGCACCCTTCTCCTTAGTCCTCAAGCAGATCACAGGTGAACCCCCTTTCCCTGTGCAAACATCTAGATGGGTCAAAGAAGTGGACTGCAATCTACAAAAAGTTTATGGCAAGTAAAAGCTATTAGTCCTTCAGGTGTCACAAGGGTTCCCTTTGTTTTTGCTACAAAAGCTTAACAAGGCTAAGCCTTTGGAAATCTCCTCAGGAAAACACACACACACTGAAAAGATGGAACTTGTGCAGCTCCCGTTCATTTTCAAGGTGCTTATAAGGAGCAGCATAGGACTGCGTTGTGCCCTGCAGGCGCACAGCTCACACAGACTTTTTCCCAAAGCAAGAATGAAGCGCTTTGCACAGACAAGAGGGCATCACTGAAATAAAGACATTGTTTTATGAGAAGCTGTATCCCAGGAAAGGAAAGCAGGGCACACTCTTGTCACAACACACAAACACCTTCATGCCCACTTGTGAGGAAAAAGCAAGGAGTAATGTATGTCTGGGGGGGGGGGGAGGGG